AATGTATTTTTTTTTCAAATAGTCACTTTTTCCTGTTTTCCCCCTCTGGAAAGAGCTAGTCTAGACGGACCCTCCTCCCTGCCCTGCCTGCCACCCCCCCCCCCTGCTGCGGGGGAGGGAGGATGGGCATGATTGGGCTCTACACTGTGCTGTCAGCCAGCTCTGTCCTCATCCTATAGCATTGCCTCTCCTCCAGCCTCCATCCATCATGACTTTCCTCTGTTCCTCCTTCTCTCTCTCCCTCTCTCTCTCTCTCTCTCTCTCTCTCTCTCTGTCCCCTCCCCTCTCTCCTCCTTTCCATGTTTCTTTCCCCTAACTTCACTTGTTGGTGGAGGGAATGGGGGAGTGATCTTTTCTTCGACCTTTATTCAGTTCAGTTTGGTTCAGGCAGCTTTCAGCAGCGCCACCTGGAGGCCATGTTTGTCCTCTGTGCTCATTAAAGATGAGCATCATTGTGCTGCCCACCAGCAGGAGGTGCTGTGGCCTTCTTGGCTGATCCTTGCTCCTTTGCAGTTCCCTGGTTGGCCTGTGTGTGACGCTGCACTCGGCATGGCCTGGTTCAGCTGGATGTGCCTGATTTGGGGTAGCGGTGGAGGGGGTATTTGATACCTCCAGGGCGTGACGGTGCCCTCTGGTGCTCGAGGTCTCGCCCTGCATTCTTACTGTCCCTCAGCTCCAGCCCTTAACCGCTCACTGCAAGATGACTCTTCTGCCTCCAATGCAGTTGGACTGTTAAATTGACATCTTAGCCTATAAGTGTCCTGGGTCTTAACCTTGATTGGTCAAGCACCCCCTGGTGACTCACAGCACCGGCTAAATCTCAGCTGCTGCTTCCGAAGTGTCCTACCCGAATAGTGGGACCGGACCAGCCCCACGAGCCCAAGAACCCAGCTGCGAGTGAGTGAGTCAGCCTCGGGGAGGCGGGTGACTCAGTGCCCAGGCGTCCCGGCCATGAGTCACTGTGCCTGGCAGTGAAGTGGACGGACTTGGAATGAGCCGGAAGTGAATTGGGTGCTCGTTCAAATGGGTGTGGCTTTAGTGCCTGTACATCTGCAAGGGGGTGTGGTTCAAGCGTTATTACCCCCCGATCCGATGTGGGGTTCCCGCGTTATTACCCCCGATCCGACGTGGGGTTCCCGCGTTATTACCCCCCCGATCCGACGTGGGGTTCCCGTGTTATTACCCCCGATCCGACACGGGGTTCCCGCGTTATACTCCCCGATCCGACGTGGGGTTCCCGCGTTATTACGCCCCCGATCCGACGTGGGGTGCCCGTGTTATTACCCCC